TCCTCCTCCTCTTCACCCTCTTCACCCTCTTCACACGCTTCAATGATTCATCATCATCAAGATGCTTCCGTAAGGCATCCCCGAATAAGGTTCATTCGAGTTACCTCTCCAAGTGATAATGAGGAAAATAAGATGGATTTTGAATACACATCATCACCTAAAACTCACAATTTTCATCATCGGAATAGCATTCCTTCGGAAGAAGAGCCACCCATGAAAAAGGCAAGCCACCTTCACGCAGTGGAAGAAGGAGCCACAACACATAACAAAGCAACAACTCCTTCCTCACCTCAACCTGTCAAAAAATCACACCAACAACAAGAAGATTCAAGATCGTCACACAAGAATCGCAAAAAAGAACTTCTCTCGGAGCTATTGGCTCGAAAACATTTAAGGCTCATTCACGCCACAGCAAATGGAAATTGTTTATTTAATTGTATTTCTTTGGCACTTGCTCAAAGTGAAGAGTATCACACCCAAATAAGGCAAAAATGTGTGGATTGGATTGAAAATAATTTAGACACGCCAGTGTCACAAGATGGAGGAATCAAAGTACGAGATTTAATATTTTTAAAACCTTTTCAAGAAACTATTGAGGATTACCTGGGAGAATTGAGACAAGACAAGGAATGGGCTGATTATTGCTGCCTAAATGCATTGGCTAATTTGCTAAATGTACAATTGGACGTGTATTATGTAAACATGTTGGAGGATGGAAATTGGGATGATCCGTCATCGATGGTGGTAAAATCTAAGATTAAGGTTCTGCCCGCACAATTTGTGAGGGGAGGTGTCTCTCAACACCGACGACACCACGGTCTCAAAAAGATTCGTGTGGTCTATCATGAAGAATTGAAACATTACAACCTCCTTGTTCCACAATATCACACCTCTATGTTGTAAATTAAGAGTAACAATTCGATCACCTCAGTAAAAATGGTAAATTATGAAATTTTCGATCAATATTCGATCTCACAAGAAGTGGCCAACACGTTTTATTCTTATCCCAGGTTGTCACAAACTAGATGCTAATTTTTTGCTTCAACGAGAGCAATGCACCTAGTGAATATTGCCAAAAAGTTCCCTTATAAAAACCAAACCATCCCTCTTTCTCATAAATTTCTTGAGCACATGAAATAATATTCAGTCTTTCAACAGTCTTTTTGTCCTCAGACAAGACACCATATTGTAATCGACGTCTCAACATTTTCAATGGTTGAACAGTAAATCTCGAGAATAATTCAGCCACAATAAACATGAAAGAATCCAATATTTCTTCTGTTTGGTCAGATCCCTCTGTTACACCTTCATCTCCTAATCCGAATAATCCAAAGAAGAACTTCATCGAACGGTACGAGCCAACCAATGTGGTAACTCTTATAATTCTTTGAAGAATTTTCAAATACCATCCACGATATAAGGCACGAAAACCTTCTCTTCTAATAATGCGATTCATGCACTCAATGGAACCATTTGGATCTCTCAACTCGGGATGAGACAGCCGATGTGAGCGAGGAGCTTGCATTCTCACAAACACTGTATCAAAAGGATACGAAAAGATGTCTGTAACCAATGAGGCTCCATGATAAATTAATTGATAGGTCGGAATACTTCTCTGTGTGGCTAAATCTCCACGTTTTGCAACGAGAAATTCTCTTCTCAAATCCAATGAAACCAATACATTACGAAGCACATAGGAATGAGTCCACTTCTTAAACATTCGTGCAACAAAGCCTCTGAAGAATCCACCGAGTCCTTCAATCCGATATAATTTTGAAAATCCTTCTACATGATTCGTCGGAGCTTTACTCTTCTCCACTTCAGTAGGCTCTAATATGATTTGATAACCCACAGCTCGAAAGAGAAAATTAAACACTCGATATAATGAGAAGGAAGCTATGAGAGAAGTACCCAAAATAAGGTCAAAGGTGTTGGAAAATTCTTGCTCTGCTGATTGGAAGGATGGAGGAGTTATGGTTGCTTGTGGTGGTGGTGGTGAAACCACTTTAGCAAACACCACAGGATCGGAGGATAGAGATGAGGAGGAGGACGATAAGGTTGGTGTTGTTGAATCCATCACGGAGAGTTTGAAAAAGAATAATTAGCAAAGAATGTATTGAGCTTTTGAATCAATCAAAATAGTTGGTGCTTCTAACTGTTAGAGTGCCGTCAGCAGTGGGATGATGAAAAGAAGAATTATACCTCCGATAAGATGATGATGGAAAATTGTTGGTCAAACGGAAAAAACGAAAAGCTCGAGGATATTTTTTTTTGAAAACACAAATTAGTTTTTTCAATTTGATTGAATCGCGAAGATGAGAATACAAAAATATGAAGAATAATGATGGAATGAATTTTAAGCCTTAATATTTGTAATTATTGTTGAATCAATGGAGAAGCGCATGGTAAGAAATATTGGTGGAATGGATGCCACCTGTCACACTTTAAAAAAATGCCTAAAAAAGAACAGCAGAAAGAAGTCACACAAGCTTCATCATCGTCACTTAAAAAATCCTCCTCAAAATCCTATCTCGTCAAAGTCCACTTCGGAGAACCTCTCGATCACGATACTCTTCCAGAATTCATCATTCAAGCAATGGACTTTATATTAAAACATGCCAAAGACATTGAAGGCCTTTTTCGAATTTCCGGTCATGCCGGAGACGTTTTAAAATTAAAATCAAAATTAAACTCAGGAGAAGCTATTGAGTTGAGTGAAATTGAAAATATTCATAATGTGGCATCGTTGGTGAAGATGTATTTTAGGGAATTACCAAATCCGTTGATCAGCTTTGAGTGTTATGACATGTTCATGATTGCAGATTCAATTCCAGATTTCTGCTCGAGATTGGAATGTTTGAAAAAGCTGTTGGCTTATTTGCCACCAACGAATCAAATGTAGGTGGTGTGAGATTATTGATATATTTTGCTTTCATTCAATATATGAACAATGAACTCCATGGATGGAAATATCCAATTGAATATTTAATATTTGGTTATTCATATTTGGTTATTTTATATTTGGTTATTGAACATTTATGTAATGATATTTTCATTTATTAGAATATTGCAACAATTATGTTTATTTTTAAGTGAATTAGCAAAAAACAGTGAAAAGAATCGAATGAATATAGAAAATTTGGCAATTGTCTTTTCTCCAAATATTTTGAGAGCTCCAGACAGTAAACAGAAAGATCCACTTCTCGTGTCACATCCTTTTCTGGAGAGTCAAGAACCATTATCACAAAGCGAGTATGTTTTTTTAGACAATTATGAAAAAATTTAATATTATTCAACATTATTATTATTATTATTTCTCACATGTGACACGAATATTCATTTTAACCATAATTCGTATTCGTCACATGTCATTTTATATACTGAACCCACAGAATTTTACAGAGCTACAAATCAGCACAAAGTATTGTCAAATCTCTCATTGAACACGTTGATTACTTTTTCAATAGTAACATTATGAACTTTCAGGAATTTATGGAACACAAATCTACCAGTCAAATAAGACAACAAGGATCTGCTTCGTCCACCAATGATCCTCAAACAAGTATAAATCTCACTTCACCTATTCAAATGAAAGTTTCAGAACAAATATTTGGAACGAGCGCTCAAGAAGTGACTTCAAGTGTGAAACTATTAAGCGAAAAAATTACACAACAAATTCAAGATTCCCATCCATTCAAATAATAATTAGCATGTGTGTGAAATGGCTGTTTCAAGTATTCATTCAAATTTGCAAAATGCAATCAAATTTCATGATCAGACGACACTTTTCATCGAACCATTCTTTCATTTTCAAACCGATCTTTCGAAGAATTTTGATCTGGCAATGGAGTCCCTTATGTCTCTGGTAGTGGTGCTGGTGGTGATCATGAAAGCTCTGTTCCACAATCAAAACAAAATTATTAAATTATTAAATTATTAAAAAAAAATTGAAATCAATAAAAAAATATCCACACACACCTCACGCATATTCTGAGAATGCGTTCTCTCTTTTTCATCCTTGCTGCCTTGTTGGCAGTTGGACTCGTTATTAATTACAACACTAAATATTCCACTCAGGTATTCGTCATTAGAACCATTTTCAATGCCGTCTTGTTGAGAAATAAATATTTAGGAATGAGTATCGGAAACCCACAAAGTACCATGATGGGAATTACCACTCCGGATTGGAAAGAAGTTTCATTAGAGGCTCAAACTTTCTATAATTTTGTTCGGTTTAATGCTGGAAGAAAACTTGAATCGGACGTTGCCATGAGAGAGGGTATGATATCATTGGCTCCTCCCGTTTCCTATCATAATTCTTTGAGTTTTCAATCAATTCCTGAAATTAGAAATTCAATGTTTGTTCATCTGAGAGATCGTTTCTATTTGGATCAATACTTTGGAAAGGATAAAAGAGGAAAAGTTTTGTTCTTGATTCATGGTGGAGGAGGCTTTGCTGGTAAACCTGGAGGACTTGAACTCGGAAGTATTGTTGAGCATATGCAAACGAGATTTAATAGTTCATTGACTCATATTCTCTCGGTGGGATATCGATTGATGGCTTTAACGGAAGAGGAAAAACACAAGAAGAATGAATTTGCAACAAAATTGAGTGAACAGACGGATGATGTCATTCAAGCTTATCAGTGGCTATTGAAAAAGTTTAATGCGGAGGATATTGTGCTGGTTGGAAGTTCATTTGGTGCTTCTCTTTCAGCAGAGTTTTTGAGAAGAGCTGCTGTGGAGAATCTTCCAATGCCTAAAGCTGCAGTTTTGGTTGGTGGTCCTTATGATTTAACATTGAAATTGGGCACTAGTAGCATGAATGCTAGAAATACTTTGATGAGCACCGATCGAATGATTTCGATAATGCAAAGACTTTTCAAAGAAGAGGAATCTCCACTTGTTACATGGAAGAATGTCAACAAGAGAATTCATGAAACCAATCTTTTAATTATTTATTCCAAGGATGAGGAAGTAACCAAAGACAATGAGGCTTTTATTCAAATTTTGAAGGATATCAAACATCCATCTGTGCAGGTGATTGCTGACAATATGATGATTCATTGTCATCCATTTTTCGAATACTATTTCCCAGAGGCAAAACAAGCCATGAGCAAGATGTTAGACTTTGTGGATTCTCAAAAATAAGAATTCCAGTTCTACTGATAACTGGAGAAATAAATATTGAACTAATTTATTTTAACAACTGTGGCTATTCATCCTGATCGTCCTCGTCCTCTTCTTCTTCATTGTCCTTATCACCCTCATCATCCTCTTCATCCTTATCACTCTCTTTATCCTCTCTATCCTTTTCCTCCCCCTTATCTTTTTCACTCTCTTCATCCTCTTCGATGTCATCTTCCCAGTCATTAGAGTCCATGAATGTGGCAGAACACAGCATATTTTCTTCGTTCTTGTCATCTTCATCCACACATGAAATGTCAACAAACTGCTTCAACCAAAAAAAACAATACTGGCAAAGTATTTCAAGTCTAGCTTCTGTGGTTTTGTTTTCAACAACTAGACACTCTTCAAAAATTTCAGATCACGAAATTCTACTCTTGTTTTCGTTGATTTCACATCACTACACCAATCAGGACAGGTTTTTGTGATTTGGAAAACACAAAAGCGTATCCATCGTCAAAATTAAATATTTGTTTCTTCATATCTATTTACAATATCCTCTTTTCCAAATTCAGTGCTAATACCATCATGTTCAAACTCAATATCCACAGTCATTGGATAACCGTTTGAGAAAAAGGCAACACCATGAGTCACCTTTTTTCGTTTTTCAAATTCTCGTCTAAATTCAAAATCCATTATGCACTTCCACTTGATCATTCAGAAACTAAAATTAGTCCAAAAAAATTAGTCGAAATGTCTGACAGTTCCGATGATCATGACAGGTATGGATCTTTTCGGAATCTTTGCTCGGAATAACATTGTGTACACAATAGCTCGAGCTCTGAAGGTGAATTGTGTGACCGGCTTGGTCAACTATCTGTTAGTGAAAACGTTACTTTGAGAGATGTTGTACGACAATACGGTTTAGATAATGTCGTTGGATTGATTGACGATTTGAACGAGATATTACGTGAAAACAAGTCATCAATATCAGCCAAAGCTATCGAACCAAAATTGTATATTATTAAAATTTCGAGCCTAGAAGTTCATACAGAAACAAATAATGCATACAGACCATGTTCGGGCTTCATGGTTGCTAAAGTTGGAAAAACAGAACAATTTGGTACCAAAAGATGCGATTTGATTATTGCTGGATTGAAGAAACTGGGATATGAGGCGAACCTTTTCAAAACATCACATGCACACGAACACGAATCAGAAAAAGATTACAGAGAAAAATTGGCAGTTTTCTCTGTTCCGTATGAACTGTTGAAGAAATTGGGTTTTGATTATACTTGGGGTCTTACTGAGTACGTTGTTATGAATTCCGATGGTACTTTTCCCACCCAAACCCAAAAGAATCAGGATTTGTTTATTTTTGACAAATGTAATCGACAGTTGTATACTAAGAAGGGTGACGCTATTGATACTCCGGACCTTGTTGACACTCCGGTCAATTGTGTCAATTGTGGCAAATCTGATGATATTAGCAAATATTTTAAATGTAAACAGTGTCATGAGTACCATTGCTCAGTTTGTGTCTCTTTCTGCGGCCATGTTTGTTTTTATTGTGCTGGAGATGAGTGTGCACGTTGTAAAAATAATTTTTGTAGCGAATGTGTTAAACAATTGGATGGTTGTGAGTGTTGTGTGTGTGACAGTGAGAAATGTAGAAGTTATTGCGATGATTGTGAGAAATACTTTTGTTCATCCCACAAAGGACATACATGTTAATCATGGTTTAAGATGGTTTGCTAAAGGTATTATTTATTTGGGCAATGGAGACTGGCCAGAGAATCATATTCAAGTAGCATGTGTTCTATAAAATTAAACGCATGATGAATATGATTGAAATCATATACCCAGTTCTTTTCTAATAGCAAGATATTCTTCTCGAATACAGTCTGTCACTTCATGAGCATTTGGAATAATACCCTTGTCACACACAACTGAAATACCAACTCGTCCATTAAAAGACATCAATGTGCTATTCACTCCAATGGGTTTAACGAGAGGAATGAATCCAACTCCCTGAATCAAGTCATGACCAAGCAACTTGAATGATATTTCGTCTTCAGGAGAATGAAGTCCTTGAACATTAGAAATGGTGAAAGTAGAAGAGGATGCTCCCCAATTGAGTAGTGACACGGCTAAGGATTTGGGTAATAAGGCAGTGGCTAACCATAATAAATATCTGTTGAAATAAGGTTGTGGCAAGAATTTGGCTAAATTCATATACTTGTGAATGATCGAAAAACGTTCTCGAAGTTTTAAGTGAATATCGAAAGGCAATGTTCCAAACAACACTCCCACAATATTGCCAGCTTCTTCTCTGGACTTGCTCGTTCGAATGTTCACACCCATTCCCAAACGAGAGGTACACGATTTCAGAATGTACTCTCTGGAAAGATTATTCCGAGGTTCACGATCTGAGCTCATTTTCAACCTGTATCGATCAATGACGCCACTGAATATGGTCAGAAATAGGTCATTGACTTTTCCTGTGTTGGAATTGTTTTGGCTTAATAATAGAGCCACTCGCTTAAATTCTTCAACTGTGAAATATTTGTCGGTTTCATGGGTCATGTCTGCATCATGCTTCTCGTTGGATTCATTGAACCAAATAAAAGAACAAGATACTTTTCCAACTTTTGGATTCTTTGAAGATGGCTTAAACATGGTATCACTATCGCCACTAATTCCTAAATATAATACAAGTAACAAGGTTGAAAAAAACGCAAGAAACTTCAATAAAAATCCGACCACCAATGCCAGAAGTTTTCCTACGAATGGTACGTTCCTAGATATGACTATCTCTACATTATGAATGATACTTAGAGCAGAGTTCCAATTATTGTGACTTCCTTGTAACATTTTGTCGTATTTGTTTAACAGAAAATTGGTTACTTGTTCTTCATTGTCCAACAAATCGCCGACAATTATTTTCTGCAACAAGGTTCCATCTCCAATCCAGTGATGAATCTTAAAAAACAAGACAATTCCCCTTGAATAGTTCTCAATGACATAACATTGCCAAAGAGGCATTTTCGAGCCTGTCACGTATCGGACAGGAACAAACGGTGTCGTAAATATCTCACTTAGCATTTCACTCAAGATTTCATCTTCACTCATTCGTTGAAACTTTTCTTCACTCAATTTGCAATACTTGACATGATTTTCCATGCATACATTCTCCACACCAACATCGATGTATTCACATTCACTCACCACCAAACTTCTGAAACGTACAAAACGAGCCAATAATCTTTCCGAGAGTCGTTCTTCAAAGGCTTTCCGATTGAACTTGCAATCATTCCTATCATCATGGTTGAGGCTTCCCAAAGAAGTCCTTCCGAGAAGAACCAATCCACCCACTACGAGAGGCTCATCCGGTTGTTCTTGCATGAGCATGAGTTGTCCGAATTTTGAAAGCCTTCGTCTCGGTGTTGCATGATGAATATGAATGGAAGTGAGCGGCGGTGGTGAAGATTCAACGTTGATCGGTTCGGACATTTTTTAAAAAGAGTCGAACATTCGAATTCATTTCCTGAATGAAAAGAATTCTTTCAGCTGTGAATGCATTCGAGAACACTCGAAAATCAAAAGAATACGGACTTTATTCTACTACTACATCGCCTGTAGAGCATACACACACGAAAGGTACATCAATGTGCACAACTTCTTTTCGCCAAGTGTATTTCATTCACAGTAATGAAACGACGCAAATACTTTTAAGATGAGCTACAAAAGGTCATTATCCATGGTCCTTACTTTTCATGAACACTCTTGAATCTTTTTCGTGTCAAATGTCCTCGCATGGTTTTTTGAATGAGTATTGCGGCATGCGTTCGGTGGATGTGTTTCATGACTTCGAGGGCTTCCGCTGTGCAAGGTCGCATTGCAGGATTAGGGTCGAGACATTTTTCAAATAATTCTACGAGTGGATGAGCGTAGTGTGCGCTGGCGTTGAGCGATTTCCCTTTCGTGTTGAATAATGTGAAATAAGGATTGGTCTTTAGATTTTCTTGCCATATTCTCACAAAATCATCCTCTGAAGAAGAAGAAACTTGAAAGTTGACCTTCTTTTTGCTTAAAATTTCAAAAAGTGAATAAAACATGCTGTACACATCAATTCCGGCATGTGAGGGTTGTCCTTCATGGTGCTCGGGGGGTAGATATCGCAAAGTTCCTCCCAATATTGCTTGTCCTTGTTTGACAGAAAAACCAAAATCTGCTAACCTAACACCTTCATGGGAAATTAATATATTTTGGGGCTTAATATCGCTATGAACATAACCTTTCATGTGAACACATTCTAAAGCTTCCAATAAATCAATACACGTCTTCAAATATTTGAGCGGTCTCATGTACTTGACTTTCTTGCCTTTAGTGCTCACAAAACTTATTTGCTGAGTGAACATATCGCCAAATTTACAGTATTCAAGAATGACAACGTGTGACTGCATCTTCTTTTTGGAGGCATCGTCAATTTCTTCGTATGAATAATGATCCAACATTTTGACAACACTTCGATGTTGGAACAACTTTAAACACTCGACTTCTCTTTCGTAATCTCTGAAGGCACCGTCTTTGTATTTTTTCATCACACAAACTTCGTTGTTTTCCTTATTGGTGGCCAAAAGTACCACTGCCGAAGCTCCATCGCTAAGTCTGTTCAAGATTTCGTATTGTACTTTCTTTTTCTCTCCTTCTTCTACGTCTTTTTTTGTTTTCTTAACAAATAAATTCGTGAAAGGTTTGATGATTGCTTTCCACGATCTAGATTTTCGTCCTGATGTCTCAGAATTGATGGAGTCTGATCTTGTTCTTGTGTTAATATCATCATTGTAATCAATTGCTGGAACAACAATGTTGGCTTTGGTGGCTACTTGTGGTTTGGGTTTTCTTGAAGGCATTAACTCAGCTCGTTCATTGTCATGATCAGACAATTTTTCTTGACAGATTGTAAAAATCTGTAACACATCAGAAATGCTTGGCCTGTCTTGTTCATGAGGAGACAAACAATCTAAGGCAATATTTAGAATCTTCTTCAAGACCACTTCCAATTGAACGTCAATTGAGTCACTGTGCAAACCTTCAGGGTTTAACGCTCTATATACTCTGTCTTTAATATTTTGCATTTCATTCTTCCAATCGTCGATATCGAGTAACTTTGGATCAATTTCCTCCTTAAACAGTACACCAAGAATCATTGTTCCTAGCATGTGAATGTCATTAGATGTGGAGAATGGTTCATTGTCATTCTCAAATGCTTGTCTTGAAAAATATGTGACATGTTCGTCGTTTAAAGTGTCTCTAATAGTTTCAAGACCAAAACTTGGTATTTGTAGAATAATCTCTGCATTAAGGATTTGTTGCAGATCATTCGCAAGCACTAGAACATTCTTTGGTAGGATACTGTTGTGACTAATATTACATGAGTGCAGTTCACTCAAAGCTTTGCATATGGAGAGAAATGTTTTGACCGTAAACTGCAAGAGATGTCATTCACAAATTCAATTTCACTGATTTAAATATTTTAAAATATCTCTTACCTTCAAACGTTCTTCTTTGTTTATCAAAATATCCTTACTGAACAAGACTCGCTCCAAATTGAAAACTTCTCCTGTCCACCCTTGCAACAATTCGGTTTTTTTGTTCAGCTTTACATTATTTCGGCAAGCAGTTGAAAAATAGAGATGAGAGGTCCGCCCTGCATCACACGTCCTTTCATATATTCCATCAATTTGAAGGTTTTCCTCCGACCTTAAACTTGCTTGAAGATAATTCAATAGTTGTTGTTCATAATACTTAATTTGTCCTCCCGAAAGAATGGACTGAGAAAAAACAAAGCAATTTCTCTCCAAAGAAGAGAGGTCGGAAAATACTGGAACATGAATATTTGTTGGATAGGAATCTTGATACAGTAATTGCAAATCAACGGAATCTAGAGTCGTTGAGGAAGAAGAGGAATCACTTCCGATATGATTGCTCACCAACTTTTGAAGTAGCAATTCATAACTTTGAATTACTTGGGTCATGATGAATCTTGTTTTTCGTCACGATAGAGGACACTATCCAATAATCTTGAGAGAGATATTTTGGAAAATGTTGTATGCGGCTTTGATGTCAGGTATTTTTTTGATTTCAGGTCGTACACGAAATGGCGCACAAAGTTTCTAAATACTCAATTTGTGAACTTTCTCGTTCATCATCAAGTTCAAAATCTGACTTGTTGAAAAAACAAAAATCTAAATATCATGATGAACAAGTCTTTGAAAAACATTAAAGAAGGATTCTTTTTTCGAAGACAGCAGGATGTGGCCACTAAATTACCATTTAATTTCATGGTAATTCTTGTACAACTTTCCATAATCCAGAGAGGCAGTAAGAATCGGATGCAGGATTCGATAAGCACCGTCACTGATGTTCAATGGAGGTTCCATAAAGGTCTCAATAGCCGATGATATCCATCCGGTGTCAGCTGAATTCATCAATATGCCCTTCTTGGCATAATAGGAAGCAGCACTTCGTGTGAGCATGTTCAATGCTGCTTTCGACATGTTTGTATGGATGTGAGAATCGGTTTTACCTTCCACGTTAAAGATACCCTCATGAGAGACCACGTTTACAATATATGACAAATGTTTGCCGGTCAATAAATCATCCATATCATAGGTACAATGACTCTCGTCAACATTTGGTTGCATAATTTCCATTAATTGAGCCACAAGAATTGTTGGAGCAATATTATTGATCATTTGAGTCTCTAACAATTCGACAGTGTCTACGTCTGGTAACTTGTATGTCCATGAGTGGTGAGTTCTATTATCCTGCTGCTCTCCAAACTCGTCAGTTTCTCCAGGTGGAAACATTTTGTCTAAATTTGAATCGAAATCCTCCTTAGTAAGATTGTACTTTTCAGTCACATCTAAACAATGTTGCCTGAGGGTTCTTTCGTCCTTGTACACTACGACTTTAGAATTGTCATTTCTCAAGACCAGTTGAGAAGATTCACTTCCATGATTAAATGATGTCGCAGAGTCTTCCTTGTTGTCAACTTTGATATCACCCAAATACTTTTCATCCAAGTACTCCTTTTCTTTTGAAAGCAAGTTTTCATAATATTTGAGGGGTCTTCTAACAGTTTGAGCAGCACTGGTAAAAAGTATTGATGATTGGAAATAACAAAATCAATGTTAGTTACAGTTGAGAAGTGTTGATACTTACTTGTTAATTAAATAATCCACATGCTTAAAATTGTTTCTAATATAAGCACAGAATGACATGATAGACGCGCCATCTTTGAGGTTCAAAGGGTAGATGAATAATCTTGATTTCCATTCTTCATAGTCAGAATATTCTGAAAATTTCTTGTGAGCATCGTGGACAAATCGAGTAGTGACAATGACTGTGGCCCCATTTTCCAAAAGAGTTTTCGTAACCATGAAACCGATTTTAATGCGCCCTCCTGTCACTATTGCAACTTTGCCAGTTAAATCTCTCTTCAACTTTTTCATGTTGGAATTAAAGCTTCTACATGTGCTGCACATATTAAACTTGGAATTATCATCATCAAGATCCAAGTCGCTCGAATGTCGATAAAAACCACAACAATAACATTTCCAAAAATTATATTTTCCTATGAAATGTTGATCCAATATTGCCATTCGATAGTGTGATGATTAGGATTGCAAAAAGGTTAAATGATCCATTCATATGACAGTAACCCGTATTTGCAAATAAGTTCTGCATACATACCTCTCAAATGTGAATCAAAATAGTAATCTGTAAAGAAAATACTAGCATCGTTCATATATAATTCTCTAACACTCAAACAAAAGTAGTGTATATCTTCACTAGTCACTCTTCTTACAAAGCCATCAAACTCTTCAGTTTCTGGATATTCAATTTTTTCTAAGTCATAATCATCAAAATCAACATCCAACCACATTCCAGAGTAGTAGCTCTCCCATCCAATTGCCAAGAAGTTCTTGACGCCAATCCTTCTAATAGTCACAATATGTCTATACGACAAACTTATGTTGTTGAAAATGGAGTAAAGTCCTTCTAAATCATCTCTGTCAGTTCCTTCTCCATATAAACATTCACTTTCGTCAATTATACCAGACTCAATTTTTTCTTGTATACTCTCAACCTTTTTTGAGCAATCATGGAAATGATCAAGAGGATGGGTGTTGGTGAACCAAGTTGTGTAACCGCGTTTGCCATATTTGTAGGCCCGACTGGTATACATCCCTTTTCCTTTGTGTTCAAAGGAAACAAAGTTATGCAATGTGGAAATACTGTTAATACCTTCTCTCACTGTGTACACATTAGTACCGTCATAGCAGAAGCGACAACAATCAATGTCAAAGAATGTCATCAATTCCTCGATTGTATCAACACGTCTCAAAATGAATTGTGCAATATTGGATGATTCTTTTCCATGAATGTTCAAACAACCGTTATTCTTCACAACAGCGTATTCATGGCCTTCGTTCTTTGCCAACTTTTCAAATTCAAATAAAATTCTCCTCAATGAAAAGTGACACTTTTCTGGTGTTTCACCATTCTGAATGCAGAAAATGTCTACATCCGAAGTACTATCCCACGAATAAAACGGGTCTCCTTTCTCAAGCATTTCAAAACGAAACCTCCAGCAACAATGAATTGTTCCTAATCATTTGTACAACATCATGCCCATATCGAAAGGCGATGTTTGTTACATGTATCAGAGTTTGAACCTACCTTATTGGAAGCGTTATGTCTCCACAAACAATCAAGTAAAATCCGAATCATATCACTGCAATTCTCTTCCACCTTAACTTTAAATTCATTCATATTTTTGACACCGAAATTCTTCCATCTCAACAAATTCATCTTATGGAAAGGGCTGTCTTTGCGAATGACTGTTCCTTCCTCGATATCTTCTTGTGAAAAATCTTGAAAGAGATTGATTAGAACGTTTCTTCTTTGTGAAAATTTGTTGGGCAAAATTAATGACGGATCATCACGCATAATATCTACTGGTTCAAAGGCAATTACATTTTCCATCCCTTTAACTATTTCTCTCCCATTTCCAACAATTTCTTTCTTCAGTTCATTATAAGTCATTGATGGGGATATCAATGGTTTAAATAAACTTGACAAGTATTTGTACTGAGTACATCTGCTATTGAGATATTCCAAACGAATGAAATCTAAACTATAAGATCTCAATTCCAAATAGACAGAATATATCCATTTGCAAGTGAGTGCCAAATTAAAAGTGGTATCCTTCTCTGCAAATAATAATATCAACGAAACACCCATGTCAGAGATGTTACCAAAAGAACCAGCCTTTTCCAAATCTCCTTTAAAATCACGCAGCACTACACACGAGTGATAAGTTTTCTTCTTCTTTTTAGGTCGAGTGTTTTCATTCATATGACTGGAAGCTTCGGAATCATCTTGATTCTCCGATGAGGATTCATCATCATCATCTTGCAGTATCATTTTGTCAGCTTCATCGTGATCTTTCTCTTCCATTTCTTCCTCGTCTTCAATTTGATCTTCCGCATCACCGCTGTCCTCATCTTCCATGAGATGTTCCTTCTTCTTGTTTCCAGCCATTTTTTTCCTCTAAATTATGGAGCCGAACAATTTACAACGCCAAACGTCTTTGACGAATCAAATTGAGCAATTCGTCGTTAACCATTCGTTCGTTAATTGATAAAGTGAATTAGTAAATATTGACAGTTCATTGTTGCACGACAGCTGTTTTGTTGTTGTTGTTGGGATTTATCAATCTCCTGAAGATGTCATTGACAAATCATTATAAAGGTCATACAAAAAAAAGCGCCAACTTAATTACAGGTTTGAAAAGGCTCATCCTACATCGGAGGTATCACGAACCTATCAATTAGATTTATTGTGCTCACTTTTTTTCGTTGTACATACAACTCCCATAATTTATTGTTTCATCATCCCATCATTCACTCATTATTTATTGAATTGAATATCACAATTTATTGATTCCTATGCAAGAAAATCACGAATACAATTCGGGTCAAAAAGTGGCACCTGGGGTCGCTGCTAAAAAGATGATCCCGACACCATTGGGTCAAATCAACAAAGGAGGAAGTAAGGGTTCTATTGGCAATAACATTCATCATCACCAGGGAGGAGCATCAGGTTTAAAATTAGAGCGAATTATCGGAAGTACTGTCTATAATCAACATTCATTCCAATTACACCCTTCAGCCATTCCAATGTCGGGAGCCCTTCCTTTAATGATTGGAGGTCACAGTATGAATTCTGAAATTGTGGCCTATTTGGCAGGAACCTTTGTCGTTCTTTACAACATTAAGAGAAGTAAGCAAGTGAAATATTTAGAGCACCCAACGTCGAACAAACCCTTCAGTTGCATTGCATTTTCAAAGGATGGTCAATATTTAGCAGCCGGTGAGAGAGGCCCCAAACCATCCATTGCTGTTTGGGATTTGCATCAAATATTTTCTCCTTCAATTAACAACAAGGAGAACAATAATGACACGAATGTGACATTAGAAAAACCAAAAATCACTTTTGATGTGAAGAGTAAGGAAAAAGGTCACGAACATGAGATTAAGCAAATTTGTTTTTCCAAAGATTCCAAAATGCTCATAAGTTTAGGTGCTGAAAATGAATTGAAAATCTGGGACCTTGTTCCTGCCTCTGGTCAATCATCACCTAGTGTCGGAAAGGGAGAATTGAAATTTTCAAAAAATGTGGACGAAACCAACGATATTGCTTTGGCTCCTAATGATGACAATGGTTTCATAACGGTGGGAAAAGGTTTCGTGAGATTTTGGTCCTATGCAAGAACAGCAAAATCGTCCCTCATCTCGGTCCGATCAGTTTTATGTAACCTCGATGTGTGGAAGCAAGCAAATTTTGTTAGTATTGAATCAAGAGGAAAGTAAGTTTCGTGATGATTGTGAACTAGTCGTTTGTCATCAACATTTTTCTTTTGATCCATATTGAATATGTTCTTTTGATAGGAATGAACACTCGGAAGTGTATGCAATTACTGAAGACGGAATTCTTTGTAAAATAGACCCAAAATGCAAGGAACTACAAAGCTGGGTAAACACCAAAGTCCAAAAAGCCTTCTCCATGTCAGTCTCCGATAAATACATTGCCACTGCAAGCGCGAAAGGAGTGGTTCGATTGTTTGAAACCAAAACTCTGCAATTCAAGAAGACCCTTCCCGAACCACCACCATCCACCAGTCACATTACCATGAAAAGTGTCAATAATATCAACAATAGGTACGTATGAATGATCAAGCATGATGATTGAACCATTTAAATCTATTCTTGCATTCTTTGTTGATCATTCAAATAGCTATGTCAAGCCTGCTGTATCGGAGGACTTCATACCTCCAAGTGCACTTGCTTGCGGCATTTTCGGTGAAAAGGTTGCTGTCATGTATGACGATAGGAGTTTATTTGTGTGGGATATTTCGAATCTGTCCTTAATATCCAAATATAGGTCGTTCATCAGTCACTCTGGCTGTGTTTGGGATCTTGATGTTCTTCCTGTCAATACAAAATCAAGTCTTCCACCAGGGACATTTGCCACTTGCTCCTCTGATAATACTATCAGATTTTGGAATATTGACTCGGATCAAGAAGAGAATATTCGTTCTTCGGTTGCTGGCAAAAGTGCCTTCTGTAAGGAGCTTCTTGCTGTGTTGCACATTCCTCCCAGTGTTAAGAATGCTGACGGTGGTATTCGAAGTATCAGTTTTTCTCCAGATGGATCTGCAATTATTTCGGGTGACAAGCAAGGACATGTAAGAGTCCATGATGTGTTCAATTTTGACCCAATATACACGGAGTTTGCACACGAGTCTGAAGTTCTATGCTTGGACAGCCATCAACTACCAAACGGAGATATCATTTTTGGCTCTGGCAGCCGTGACCGTATGATTCACCTTTACAAAATGAGCCATAGAAATGTGGATGTTGTACAAACCTTAGATGACCATAGCTCCTCTGTTACTTCCCTTAAATTTAGCTCCACTACCACAAAAGACGGTGAAGTTCTCAAACTAGTCAGTATTGGAGCAGAGAAATCTGTGGTATTCAGAAGGGTTGAGGATGTTGCTAGTAAGAAGAGCGTTCGAGTTGTACGATATCAACAAACTCCATCACCTTTTTCTGTATTTGATTTGGATGTTGACATTACTGGAAAATGGGCAGTAACAGCTGGACAAGGAAAGAGAATTAACGTGTATGATATTGAATCTGGAAAATGCAAACAATATATCGAGACAAAAGACAACAAACCTGTCAAGACAGGAGTTGATAATGCAGATCCATTGAAGGTTAAACTATGCCCTGCTGGTATTATTGCTGTCACAAGTGCTTCAGACAAACATTTGAGAGTGTATTCCTTCTATCGCAGAATGCTTATTTCTAGAGTGAAAGGACATGCTGATGTTATCACCTCAATATCTTTTACGCACGATCTCAAGAGATTAATTACTACATCGGCAGATGGTTGCATTTTTATTTGGTCCATTGGCACTAATTTAACCAAACAAATGATGGAGAGAATGGATGAATTAGAAAAACTAAAACGAGCATCATCCATGATGAACAGCCCAGTTCCATCCGCTCATCACATGCAACCTTCTCAACAACCACAACCTCCTACACCCAAGTCGAGCGATCATGATATCAAAAACGTACCCATTGCTTTTTCACAGCTTCCTCCACCTCCATCTGCAAGAGGTTTACCATCTTCAGAACTCGTAAAGTCTTTGAGCAAACAGCTCTTTGATTTGGATCAAAAAGACACTTCAGAACCACATGAAGAGAATGAACAACACTCCAATAAGGCCACTCCATCTTCACAGCCCATCTTACGAGACACGTTGCTACCTCAATGGGCTAAGGGTGCAAGTGCTTCCCCAAAACCTACAGACAAGAAGGATGACGAAGATAAACCGCTGTCGAAATGGGCAGAACGAGTGGTCGAGAAGGATAACTTTAAACTCATTGCTAATGTTGAGGATGTAGATCGGTCTCTCATATCCAATAAGAGAGTGCCTACTCCTTCTGACGGCAATGATGATGATCTTGTGAACTCTGACGAAATGCTCCATCAAGATCAAGGCGCACTTCTTGACAAGCACAAAAACCTTATTGAAGATCTGAGCGATGGTGAAGATTCGAATGATGAAGATAACATTATCATGTTTCCTTCATCTGAAAATAGTTCTGATACTAGTTTTCAAGTGGCTGAAAATGATCACACAGACTTTGTTCAGGATCAACCTTCCGAAGAAAAGAATGAAATCAGTCTTTTGGCTGACAATTTGAGCATGATACCCAATAATGGTGAATCGATTCAGGTAGGAGATTTGGAAGCAGTGAGTGACAGTGACGACGAAAGTGACGATGAAAGTGAGGTATCTCGAATGATTTCCAAAAAAATGGAAGATGATCTTGCCAAACCGGTGACGATCCCATCTATCCTACGTAGTAGCATTACCTCATCCTTTAAGATGAACAAGCAAGAGGAAGATAACAATCAAAACTCTCGTGCTGTAAACAATTTGTTGCAAAATCCACCAGTGGATGAATCTGCAGAGAGGTTTTCCATCGATACCATTTGTAAGAAATTACGAGATGCTCATGAAGACTCACAAATTGAGATTATTGTTGAAGAAAAGCCAGCTGTCAATACGAAAGCGGAAATTGATCGTAAGCTCAACGAGTTTAAAGAATTCTTATCCAAACATGAACCCTATACAGCAACACATTTGGAAACTGAGGTTGTAACAGAATCAGTCATGAAGACAACTGATGCTTCAAAGAATAACCAACCTGAGGTGCAAAAACAGGTTGAAATCCCTCAATCAAGAAGCACAGTTACGTCACAGGACACCTCAAGCTCACCCAAAGATTGTAAAACAAAAACAGAATGCGCTGGTATTGTCGAGGTACCTGTTTTCCCAATGGTAGCTCATGCAAGCCCACAGTTAGGAAACAAAATTGATGATTCAACCATTGAAAATTCACCATCTCTCATGAAAAAAGAATTATCCTTTGATATAACGGAAACACATTCACAATTGATGGATCAATCTGACATGGTTCAAATACAAACTCCAAGAGAAAAACCAGAACCATCGAAAGTGACCAAGATTAAGAACAATATTGCAAAATTGACATGTGCATTCGAAGAAACTATCAAAGAAATGGAAGAACTTTCATATAATAATTCTGATGGAGCTATGGAAGCGATTAATTCTTTCCAAAAGATGGTTGCTCAAATGAATGTCCGAATGAGTCAAAGTGCTCGTTTATCAAGTTCTCATTCACATTTTGTGTTCTCAACTCCTCAAAATTTGTATGCATCCTCAGGAACTCAGCTTTCACTACCGCTTAATGAAAGCAATTCAAGTCCAACAACAACGGCACCACCGCAAGTTGACGTCTCTGACATGCTTGAAAGATATTCATCCGTACTTATTGACTACATTATGAAGAAAGTTGATAACCAAATGAAATAATCCAGGATTTTGAATTCAATGTACTAGACTTTAATTAATCCCTGATCGATATTTATAACAACTTTCCAAATTTAGATGATCTTTAGAAACCAGCAACCTCAACAACATTTCTCTCTTTAAAAAAATCAACAACCTCAAGCTCGAGATTCAAACCAAACATCCTCTTCAAATCAACATGATCACACTTCTTCAAAAGCTCAAACTTCTAAACAATTCTCACAGATCCTTCTCAACTCTTCTTTCCTCTCAATTCTATCCAGCGACAAAGAAACCAACGTCAACCACAGGCACTAATATTGGCAACACTGATTTTTCACACATTGACGGATATGGAACTTCTGTAAAAAATCAAAAAGAACCTAAAAAACAAACCTATGAAAATTTACCAAAAAACAAACCCTCCTCAGATCCTTACAAGGAGCAAAAGAAACTCGTTGAACAAATCAAGAAGGGTAAAGATCAATTAGAATTGGAAGGAAGAGAAAAACCAGAAAAGATGACATTGAAAACATCTTCCTCTCCTTCTAGACCTAAGAAAGGTGCACCCAAAAGAAAGGGTTTTTAAAAATGTTTGTGGATTGTTCTCGAATTTAAAAAGACATTTCCAAAAAGAAGATTTGGAGAATGATTAGGGTTCCCATCATTTGAACCGTGTTGATCCGTTATTGTAAATAAATATATGATGATTTCAATGCATCGAATATTTATTGGATAATTAAAAATTGATAAATATTTACAATGTTCACACATATGTCATCTCTAATCTACAATTTGAAACATGGGAAACGCACGACACGTGGTGTAGAGTTCCATTTCATCCAAAGCATTTTCTTTCTGATTCGACTTTTCGAACATGGATCCTTTAACGTGCGGAGAAGGTTTCTTTTGAGTTTCATGACTTAAAATCTGCTCCGAAAATCCTGCACGTGACAATCGGTCATAATTTTCCTTCTCTGACATTTGCTGAGAAAGAAGAAAATCTTCAAATTCTTCTCTTGGTACCACATTGACGATATACTGAAGTGCAGCACCTGAAGTACATTCGTTTCGTTTCAGTGGATGAACAATCTTTTCTCTTGTATCTCCCAAATTTGGTAAACGAGCAACCAAACGACAATCCAAATCCAATTGTTGTCTCAAATATTGATCCAAAATTTGAAAACTGTCGACCTGATACGCCTTCATCCAAATCGAACACAATGTGATAAGCTGTTCGTAATTTTTGCTTTGATCGAACATTTCAAAGTTGTGTTTCATCACATCAGCAATTTCATTGGTGGAAAGTTTCGAAATGTCGGACGCGTTCGAAAAAACACTTCGAAACATTAATGGTTTTGCATGAGGATTCGCATTCAAAAGTGTGACTGGTTCGTCAATACCGTAAAAGTTTTTGGGAGAAGGCAAACTTGAAAGTCGTAAAGAATTAAAAATCGATCGGACCGAGTGCATGTTGGTGTGAAAATTTGCTTGCGACGCATGGACTGTCACTTGTCTTTGAATAATTTCCTGCGCTGGATTCGATAGGGTCTGATTTTTCAGCCACCTCCAGGGTGATCTTCTATTCATCATGATGATGGTGGTGGTGGTGATGGGATCTTTGTGGTGTTCTGATTTGGAAAATTAAATTAATTAAACAAAAGAATTTTCAAAATTGTTGACGAGAGGATATCTTGGCTTGATTAACTAATGGTAATAAATAACGCAATTTTTTAATAATAAAGAGTTTGCTTTTTGAGTTGATTTTAAAAAAAGAAATGCAATTTATAAAGACAAATTGTTCAATTAAAGTATCTCTATATTAGGAAATTTCTAAAATCCTCTCATTGGAATTTCTGTCATGCATTTCAAAGTTAATCCTCACTGTAATATCTTGAATGATTCTATCTTGATTAAAACTAAAGCCATTTTCTGTTTCTCAAGCTTTTAACCTTTGAATTGTAAAGAAAGAGAATCAAATTGTAAATATTCAAAAGCGTTGTATTCACATTTAGATTCTCTTTCACAAGATTTTCAATGTCCATTCTGACAATATTTATCCAAATTGTGTTAAATGTATATCCTTCTTTCCAATTTCTATTTTTATTAATCGTGATTTGTAAATCCTTTCACATAATGGTGTCATTCTTGATGAATTTATAAAGAATAGGATCAATGCACCAAAGCATGTCCATGAACAATCCATTCTTCTTTGCGACATGATTTTCATTGATAATCAATGACATGCCACTAATCAGGAAATCATTTATTTGGTTATCAGTATACCAAAAGATCATATTTTTTTAGCATAGATGGGATTGTTTACTCTAATTGAGAGATGACATGCGCGAGAAATTTTGGACATTCTTTCTCCTCGCATGAATCGGATGTAAGTTTCAAAATGTGTATTAGCTCACAAATATGTGTTCAAAGAACCATTCTTCCACCATGTTGAGCTTTCGTTATTGTATCCTCTTTGTGTCACAACGGATGAGTGTCGTTGAACGATGTACGAGAAGTGATGACTTGTTGTCATGTGAGCGAAGTCAATGGCCATCGACACAATGCTTTACCAGAAGAGTGGAAATTAAGTTGAAACTAGTGAACCAAGTTGTCAGTCTTTGAGAATGAACAAAAGATTTGAAAATCAAGCGACATCTTGAAATAAATTAAACACGTTTTTATAAACATTCATTGTTGAAAGGTTTTCAAAATTGCAAAATTGTGATGATGAAACATTCATCAATCGCTCTTGAAGAAAGGAGAAAAGGAAGAAGGAAGGGAATAACACAGAGGCAGTCCTAGTAGTACTGGTGGTGATGGTGATGATGATGGCAGGAAGGAAGGATAACTTAGAGGAAGTAGATGGGTTTGAAAGTTCAATTCAACAAAGCAAAAGCTTGTTTCATCTCATCATCCACAAACAAACCAAATTCTTCCATTCCGCTCAATTCTTGTAAACACATTCGGATATTCTCTTGGATGGAAATTATTGAGGAAGAGTCGGTGGATGATGATGAGGAAGAACTGGATGATGAGGAAGACATGTCCATATTCGAGTTGTTGATCATCACGGAACCAGAATGTTTTGGAGATTCCACTAAAGGAGAGGTTCTTCGAGTTCTCTTTGGAGAAGAAGAAGCCTTGATTGGTTTTCTCTCTTGTTGAAGATGAGATACCGACGAGGAAGAGGAGATCATTGGATTCATCAAATCTTGAGTAAATTCTTCCAAACTTGTTGGAGATCCCTTTCTCTTTCTTCCATTCGTATTCGTGGAGGTGGTTCCTTCTTGCTCATGAATGGCAGCAGAAGAAAGGCTCAACGAGGTATGTAAGGAAAAAGATTCTGTGGCAGCGAGTGTGGTGGAGAACATTTTTGGCGGTAAATGCGGTTAGTGGTTGAGTGGCGGTTGTTGTGGTCGATTTTTTTTCGTTGTTTTGAGTCTTTTCAGCTTGTGGTGCTGTTCAGTATTTATTGGAATCTCTTCCTGTCAGGTGTCTTGTTCGAAAATGGTAATTGATAATTTAAATGTAGAGCAAAATTACGAATTTGTCGTTGAGTGAAAATTCATTGGAGAAAATGCCGTGAAAAAGTTTTTGCCTGGATGAAGATGACCAATGTATATTAAAATGTTTTTCAGATCAGATTTGGGCAATCATTGTGTGTTCGAGCAAAAGTGAAACCTTTTGTACAAATATGGAATTCAGAGGTTGAGAATGGAAGTTGTCAAGTCGAATAACTTCAAAAATAAAAAATTTGAAACATATAGCTCATAATGTGAAATATTAGGTCACCCATTGAACTTTTTTACTTTTAACCGCCAATCACAGAGATTCTCTCAATCTCTCGTTGATGGAAAGGAGCATGTTTTTATCGACGAGTAGATACACAATCCAACTTACGTTTTTATTTACAGAAACTTTTTTCACATCTTTTAATGCCTCAAATCCTTAGAAAAAGTTTTTCTAAACCTTTCTGGAAATCTGTAAAACAATGAATACATTGTCATCTGCATGTGCCCATTTCGTTATGGTTCTGATCCTCTCATATTAGGAAGTAACATTGGATATTATGGACAATTCACAAAGATTTCCTTTTGAATTGTGAAAAATCAAAAGATAGTAAAAATGATACGTTCGGAAATCTCCCAGTATCACCATGACTCAGTTCCTTTTGATTCGATATATTCTTTCAAAAGATTCTAGAGCATTTAGTCAAATGATGAAGCTCTTAAATGGCAATCATTCTCATCAACATCTTCGCAACCGGTGGTTTTGAATTCAAAGGATTTGGACATTTAAAGATCAATTGTGATTGTGTTCTCGGAGTTCTCCCCCTCCTCATCACTCTTCCTGCTGCAAAAACATATTTCCAAAAAGTCGAAAGCACTTTTATATCTCTGTTTTCAACAAAAGAGGAAAAGTGTTGGTGATGAATCGTTCATGAAAAAGCCCTTAAATTTCTATTCTTCGTCATAACTTCACTAAAGATCGATTTTATTGAGAAACCAATGCATGTTTTCACTGTGACACAGGAATGAGTTGTTGGACATCTGGCAGCGATTCATAGAAAAACCAAACATTAGTTTATAAATAACTGGTGGTCATTTGTAATATTGATAGTATGTATTCATTCAATTTTGGATAAACATTGAATTTAACCATTCATAGACAGCAATCCGAAATCATTCATGAACATATTTTTCTCCAACAGGAATTAAATGGTGAAAAAAATTTGCAGAAAATAAAGAACAAACAAGCCTTTTATAACCATTCGGAATTCACAATTTCACAAAACAAGCATTAATTTCACCTTGACACTTAAAAGTCAAGTCGTTTCGAACATTTTGGCAAAAATTCGTCGAGCTCAAATAAGGAAATGAGTCATGCGAAAGAAACTTCCATTTGCCATTTTAGAAAAAAATTAAATCCGGCAAAGGAATTGTTTATGCATCACGTCCTTTGAAGATTGTTTTTGAAAAATTCATAATTTTTTCCATGGTTGTTAGTGTGTTTGTTTAAAAAGGAAGTGTGTTTCATCAAAAGGATAATGCACTTGGAATTTATTGCATGAGGTCTTTTTGGAAATCATGGTTTTACTGTAAAAGTTTCATTCACATTGAAACTCTCATTAAGGGTTGTCAACAGAAGATGTTATTAAGGACTGTCACATTTATGAAGTCTCTCATGCAGAGTGTATAACAAATACTGACATGAAGACGACAATGAGACCAGCTGTCATTGCTAGAACACCATCAAAGATCTTTCAAGGAAATGTCAAATTCGAATTGATTCCACCGATCGTCATAATTGATGGTTTAAATTAGGAAAAACTATAAATGGTAAAACCTGTTCTTGTGTTTAATTTGAATGAGAGAAAGTCATTCGTGTGAAAAGATATCATCATGATCGAAATGATCTCCTAACAGATCCATGCACTCTTTCATTCCTTCATCGGCAACGATTTCACCTTTGCTGAAAGATGACATTTTTTTGTAATTGTTGTATAAATTCAAGTTCACTTACAATTCAAACAACATGGCGCCTTCACCTCAAAAGACATTACAAGTTCATACAAAGGTGTTCAACACAACATGAATTTCTTTCTCACTGCATTTTATTCATCCATTTTCATAGTGCTCAAGTTGTTTCATGGATTTTCATTAGTGAGCTCGATGAGACCTCCTATTGAACTAGAGAGAACACAGAAAGTGTTTTTTGCGGCATTGAACACTTTGTGTGGTTTATTGGAGTCGTCAAGTCAGTGGTTGGAGAGTTCGATCGAAACACGAAACACATTGAGCAACAACATCGAGTTGATTTCTTTTGATTCATAATTTATTTTATATACATTTTACATTCAAGTGTGGGGGTGTTTGTCAATATTTGACAAGTATTGTTTGATTCAGGTCATTTGATTCAAACCTAGAATAGGAAGGAAGAGGAGAAGAAGAACTAGGGAGGAGAGGGAATAATGAGAGTGTCGTCATGTCGTCGTCATGTCATTCATTATTGATTGAGAAGTGAAAGAGCGTGTTCCATATCTGCCTTTGAGAAAATACTTTCTGAAACGCACATCGAACTAAACATGTCATCGTTGTTCAACTCATTCATAATGTTTTCAATTTGTGAGAAACAATCTTTCATATTGAGAGAGAGAGCAGAAATGGATGAAGTGTCAGCCTTCAAAGGATCCATTGGGAAACTTTCTTGGGTCTTCTTTTCGCTCAATCGAATGAGTGGAACTTGTTTCTTGGTTGGTGACATGTTGGCTGTGTAACTTTCAACGATTTTGCTCTTCTTGGTGGATGGAATTTCGAGAGAGAGCTCTTCTTCTTCTTGTTGTTTGGTTTCTTGTTCACGGTTGTGGTTTTCAGGGAATTCGTCTTCGTTGGAGACATTCTTTGAACGAGAAGCCATCTTTCTCTTTTTGGAATTGGTTGGAGTGGTGGCTGAGGAAGTGTAAATGGAACTTTCGAAGGAGAAAGAATTGTCCGAGTAGAGGGAAGCAGCAGACATCATGTCTTCAAAGGACATGGTTTCAAAATTGAGTTGACAGCTGGCAGGTGTGGTGGTTTTGACAGCAAGTGCTGGTTGTTGAGGATGAGTGGAATTCATTCTTCTGGTAGTGGATGGCATTTTAGTTGTCGTGTGGAGATATAGGTGTGCCTTCAATTCAGCTGAACTAGACCAGGTCGTCTGCTTTGAATTGGTTGTTTTTTTTCAATGTGTTTGGGCTGAGCTTTGTTTTCTTTGGTGTAGTTTTATACTTTTTATTTTATGTCAACTGTCAATTATTCTTTTTGGTCAATAGTGTGTCAGATGCGGAGTAGAATCATGAAGTTCGAAATGATGCGTTGTGCTGTTTTTCATGGCCATTTACATACATTCAAAAATTAACTCAGGTTTTGATAAATTAATAAATTACCGTCCCAAACAAGAAAAAACCACCACTTTGAAAAGATTACTTTACCGCCAACACCATTATTTCATGCATTTTACAACTCTCTTGTAATGATATTTGAATACATCATTACAAATTGTGAAATGTAGAAGTGTACAACACATGAAACCGACAACGTTATGCTTATTATCTCCATGTTGGAGGCAAATCAACGATCATAACGACAATGAACGAACGAGAGATGAGAAGGAGAATTGAAACTCTTGTCGTGGTCATGTACACTCAAGAGATTGAAGTGAACCAAATTGGTTATCTCTTGCTTTTGGCGTTCTCATTGAGTCGAATCACTCGACATGAATTTGCATGATTATCTCTGTAGATCTATTATGCTCAACGAATTTCGAGTGTGTCTACCAATGCTTGCTGGTGGATTCCTTTGCTTCATCCCTGTGAATTCCATCGAGAGATACTCCAAATCGATTTGTATGTCATGACTCACATTCCACTTGGCAACACGTTATAAAAATGTGTAACTGTAGTTTCTCTCAATGATGTAAGTACATCATTTTTCCAAATATTGCATATAAAATGATTAATTTGGAAAAATCAAGTAAAAAAGTCAAACTTGTATCAAAATCGAACGGAAGTGAAATATTGTTCCTGGTTGGAATTGTTTGCTCACTACTCCCAGCACTATTCGTGCTACGAAAGCGAAATAATTCCAACAGTATATTCCCTTTGGATGCAACACTCGGGCGCTGCAACTCCTATTGCCGAAAAATTTCCTCTTCCATACAATAATTCGAGTTTGGCGATAAATGAAGGAAGTACTGTTCTCGTCGACCAAATTATCATAAAAGTAAAACGTATGGGAGGATGAATATTCAACCAGTTGCTATCAACAAAATCCTTTTGTGTTTTGGCAGAGCAATAAAAGGGCCTCTCTGACCTCAGGCTCATCTTTGGAGGTTTTCTGCCGTGGCTCCTGAGAATGAATGGCCCATATCTTTTGATCTACAGTGAAGTGATTCATTGGGAGAGACTCTTGAGAGCAATGGACCAAACTCCTGGAGGTCCTGGGTCGTTCCTCCTTTCTTCTTTCCATTGAGGGTTGATGAAACCGAATTTAATAGGATTGTTGAGTGTGGATCCTCTCAATACAATTCCAAATTCTACATCCATGAACAGACAGGCTACCAATAGGTACCAGCCTCAACACTTCTCAAAGATCCAAACCACCCTGGTCAATAATGCCTCTCCCAACTCTGAAATTCTGTTGAGAGAAAAAAAAACATTCCCCCTCTCAAGTAAGGAAACGGTTTGAAAATTTTTTTTTCATAAAATTAAGGTCGTGATGGGAGATGATGAAACAACACTTGAGGGACCTCCATACCTGTCATTGACAAATCAACACAAGTCAAAACAGGTAAAGATGGGAAAGAGATCAATTCAGTTGGTGCTAGTTGTAATAAATTGTGAGTCTCTTGTTGTAGCAGGGCCTACGTTGACCTTCTTTGTACATGAAGAACACTACAAAATTGTAGAATTGTATATGAATTGAATGAGTGGATTATTACAATAAAGAGATGAACAACTTTTGAATACATCCATTTTGAAATATAAGTGAGGATAGAACAAAAAAGAAGACTGCTGTTTGAATAACCTTACGTGGTTTGCAATTTCAAATCACTCATCAACATCATTGTATAACCGTGTCATGAAGGATCCTTCATGAAATATTATTTTCATTGATTTCGAATTGTTCGGTGCAAAACACGACAAAAATGGATGTGACTCTGGCTCTGACAATGGACCCTTCTCTCCAAAAGCGTCATCGAAAAGAACTCCGCTGCATGAAAGAATCAATTTCAAAAGAGTTGAAATTTTCACAAACATGAATTTCTTCACTTGAAAGATGATACTTTCAAAGAAAGAAACTAGCTAACAGAAATGGGGATGTAGTTTCAGGTGATTATTTTGATTTGAGATACCACATACGTCGTGTTCATGATTTTGCAACTTGATGAGGATGGAACACACCAGCTTCGACCATCTTAGTGGTTAAAACATGACGTGCACTCACTCCAAAACATTCCATTGTAAAAAACAATCCTTCCAAAAATAATTTCAAAAAATAAACACCCACAACACCAGAATGCTATCAGTTACATCATCAACTTCAAGATTTGGTTCAGTCTCAGTGCAGCAATCCTCTCGCAACATGATGATGGAAGAATTCAGTAACTCATTCAATGAAAATGATTTCTTAGATGATGAACCCCTTGTTGTTGTTGAGAGTGGGGAAGATTCACGTCCAGATTTGATATCCCAACAACAATGTCCTGCCACCTTGATACTTTACTTGAAAGACTCTCGCAATCGCGATGTTGTGGTTCAACGGCAAATCATTCAAGACTTGATCATCATGAATGATTTTGAAGGCCTGATGAAAAGAATTGCTTTGCTCTTTGAATCCTTTCCCAATCAACACAATTTAGACAAAATTTCCACTCTTTCTGTGGTGATGCAAATAGTCTGTAGGGTGGGCTCCTGCAAGAAGCAAGCTCTCACCAATGATTCTGAATGGAGAGATGCTCTTCAAAGATTGTTGCAATCAAATTGCACCTGCATGGAATTGTTTGTCAAACTCAAGTATCACAAACAGAAACCAAAGAATGCTTCCTCATACGTAACACGAGCTCTTGTTCCATCCTATCACCAAAAGACTCACTCTTTGCTTGACAACCACATGTTCTATCAAAAGAAAAGACCAATCAGGTCACTTTTCAAACTTGATAGCTTCGACTTCAATGCAAGCAGCTTTGATAGAATAATTGTTGATGCCACCAGTATGATGTTAGCTGTGAAGGAACTGAAGCATTTACTGCTTTACAAAAATAGAAAGGAACAAGCTGAGAGATTTATCCTCAAATTGTTCTCTCATTTGCACCATGTCAACTCACTCAAACTCATGCACATTTGTTTCAACTCAACAAGCAATCTTGTCATTCCAGAGAATCAGAGAGACATTGATGCTGACACATTTGTTGTGTCAGTTGCTCCAGCATTCTCTTTTGTGAATGAACAAGTCGTTGAGTCGGCAAACAGGCAGATTATTGCTGGTTATTTGGAATCTTGCCTGGTCGTTACAAACGACTGTGTATTGACAAAGGAGATGAAGAACATGGGTGTCAAGTGTTGTACTCCAAAATCATTTTTGAAACAGAGCTTTAAAGCGTTCTCTAGATCCAATAAGGAAATGAACGTTTCCAAGAAGAGCTCTTTTAGAGAGTGGATTTCTAGCCATGTCGATATCCCAATGTTTCACTAAATTTATTTCTCCAAAATTGAATGGCACTCAACACAATACGCTTATCCTCTGACAGAGCCTGTTTACCTCGCCAGAATCTTTGTGTAATAATAAGTTACTCGTTTTATTGTTAGAAACATATTCAATTTCATATCCATTTCATCAATGTAGCAATCTTTGAAATAAAGCTAAGCATTAAACGCACAATTACCAGATTCCTTATCAAATGGCAGCATGTTTTTGCGCTGTTGCTGTCTCCATACGCTCGCACACACAGAATTCCCTCTCTTGAAAGTTTCTATCGCACTTGTTCCATTTTGATATCGCAATAGGCGGATGATCGGTGTTGAGGTAAAATTAAAGCAACGCAAAGATGCGACATGGAGAATCAACAACTCGAAAAAAATTCAAAACACTTTCTTTGCTCCTCTATATTGAGAGCCATCTCCCAACAGCACAACATTGCGATTTTTTGTTCGGAATTGACTCGTTCGAATTTATACCGTTCTCAATTCATTATCATCACTACCCATTCCTATCATCCTCTGTTTTTCATTGTAAATATTCCTTTTTTGAATAAGAGAGAGTGAATAACAATAACCGGTCCAAACATTCAATCCCAATTTTGATTCCCCTTTCTTTACTATCACATGACAGCCGAAGTTGAACAACCACAACAACCTACTGTTGTTGTTGAAATTAATGGCAACAATAGCAACGATAACCCATCATCACAATCAGTAGAGGAGATACAAAACAAGGCAATCACCAACACTCAACAACAACAAGAATCAAACGCCAGACGACCTTCCAGAAATCCCTTCAAAAGAAAAAAGAAACAAAAAGAAGCCGAGAGCAGACCTGATGAAGAAGTTCCTGACGTGAGAGAACCTAATTTAAAATTCAAAGATGCTTTTACCATGTACAAAATTATCGGATGGAACTGGATACTGGTGTTCATTGGTATCATTGGGTAAGTTGTTGAAATTCATTGTCAACCAAAGAGGATGATGGATAACTTTTAAACTTTTTCATTACGAACACTGTGCCTTTGCCAACGTAAATGTGTATTGTAATAATACTTCACTCACGTTGTCTAACTTTACAATAGAGCCATGGGTGCTGGTGTTATTCCATTGTCTTTCCAATTTCTTATCGGAGATGTAAGTACATGTGCCGAGTGTGTCAAATTTGAATCATCATCATTTATTGGAATCTCAATCTCCTCTCATGTCAACTCTATTTATACACAAAAATAGCTCATTAACGTTTTTACACCTGTCCGTGCAGACGGTTCATTGGTGCCGCCACAAGAAATGAAAGATGGTGTCTCCAAGTATGCCTCCTATTTTGCAATTATTGCTGCTGGTGCAGCTGTTGCAAACTTTTTGAAAGATTTCTTTTTGAACTGGGCTTCTGAAAGAATCGGAATGAATGTGAGAGGAGCTTATTTTGATGCTCTTACAAGACAAGAAATGGGCTTTTTCGATATCAAGAAAATTGGAGCCCTCACTGTGACATTGTCTGAAGACGTGAACAGAGTTCAAGAGATTTACTCGGTGAAAATTGCAACCTTATTCCAAAACCTTACTCAATTCGTCATTGGTCTCGTGTTGGCTTTTACCAGTGGTTGGCAAATGACTTTTGTGATGATTTCCACTCTGCCTCTCATGGTTGGAGGAGTTGTTATTTTGGGAGGTGTGATCCGATCTTTGACGGCTCGAATCAATAAGGCCAACGACCACAGCGCTTTCATTGCCACTGAAGTTATGAGCTCCATGAGAACAGTGAGAAGTATGGCTGGTGAAGAGAAGGAACGTGCCAGATATGGCAAAGATTTGAGAAAAATGTATTTGGCTGGTATTGGAAAATCCGTTGCTCAGGGTATTACTTTTGGTGCTTTAATTGGTATTTTGTGGGGAACTACTGCTTTGGCATTTTGGTATGGAGGTGGTTTGGTCGTTGACAAGACTATGGACGTGGGTGCCATGTTGAAGGTCTTTGGATTGTCTTTGTTTGCCATTATTGGTATCAGCCAAGCTGGTTCCTTCTTCCCTGATTTTGGTAAGGCCATGGTCTCACAAAAAGCTATCCTCAAGATTATTAAGAGAGTTCCTGCCATCACTTTCAAGGGAGGAAAAACTTTGGATGTTGTGAAGGGTAATATTCGTTTCGAAAATGTCGATTTTATTTATCCATCTCGACCAAATGTCACAGTCTTAAAAGATTTTAGTTTGGAAATTACACCAGGTCAAGCGGTCGCTTTGGTTGGCCCATCAGGTTCAGGAAAGTCAACCATTGTCGGATTAGTGGAAAAATTCTACGAACCAGCGAAAGGAAAAGTTTACATTGATGGAGTGGACATTTCTGAAATTGATCCAATGTGGTTGCACAGAAATGTTGGAATTGTCACTCAGGAACCAGTCTTGTTTGCTACCTCCATTTATAACAACATTGCTTATGCAGTGGGAGAACAGAATGTCACTCCTCAACAAGTGGAGGAAGCTGCTCGAGCTGCCAATTGTCACAACTTTATTATGGACCTCCCACAAAAATATAACACAATATTGGGAGAAAAGGGTGTGTCATTATCAGGTGGTCAAAAACAAAGAATCGCCATCGCCAGAGCCCTCGTTCAAAATCCTCAAATTTTACTCCTTGACGAAGCTACCTCTGCCTTGGATACTGAATCTGAAGCTTTGGTCCAAGCTGCTTTGGATCACTTGATGAAAGGTCGTACCACCATTTGTATTGCTCACAGATTGTCCACAGTTAAGAACGCAGACAAGATTTGTGTATTGGCTAAGGGTGTTCTCAAGGAAACTGGTACTCACGACGAGTTGATGAAAATTGAGAATGGTATTTACAAGGGTTTGGCTGAGAAACAAATGTTATTCAGTCATAATGAGGATTTGGAAGATGTTATGGACATTTAATGCTTTCACACATTTCCTCATAAATGATCATTTTAAAATCAACGAGTTTTCATTTATCAAATATGATATTAGGTATTTTTTTCCTTCTTTATTTCAATAATGGATTTTCCTTACAAGATAAAACATTCATTGACAAGAGACATTCAAAATACAAAAAAACAATGAACCACAGCCCTCACATCTCCCAAACACTTCCAAGCTCTCCAGACTTCAAAGACCCAACCACAACAATACCTTCCACAAGCACTTGTATCAATGATCATGTTTCATCGTCTGTCAATGATCATTTCGAATGCCACTCACTTCCAACATCACCAACAGCACATTATGCCCTACATCATTCATTGCGAAATACAATACAACACCTTCCTTCTCAGATCTTCCTTCAACCACAACCACCTCTTCAAATTTGGATGAACTACCTCGTGGAGAATGAAAAGGAAAAACAACTATTGAGAAATGAAATTATTGATCTTCGGAGACAAAAGGAGGTGTTGTATGGAAATGATTTGAAAAGTTTTTTGAAAAAAAGTTTTCAAGAATTGACACAACAATTACGTCAACAATTCAATGAAGAAAAGAATCAGCACTCTTCCGAACAGTTTGTTCGAGTGAATGAATTGCTTGAGTGGTGTCACCATCATCCACTCAACCCATCGAAGGATCATCATCAAGAATGGGAAAAGTTTTCTCAAGAATTGTTGCAAATGGTCAAACAGCATGAAAGGAACGTCACCAATGTATTGGAAAGCTCCTTGCAAATACAAAAGCAGGAAACTCGACATGCATGTGAACATTTCGAAAAAGAAATGAATTCCATTGGACAGAAATTAAATTCAAATATTGAGAGGTTCAACACTTTGAATATGGAACTTTTACAACAAGTTCAATGCAATCAACAGCAACAACAACAAGAACAACAATGGATGAACCTCTTTGCAGAGATGATGAAAAGTAAAGATCAAGAGATTGCATTAAGAGATGAGCTCGTGAAGGAACTCAAAGATCGACACAGTCAAGATCAAGAATTATGGAAATTACAACATGAAAATCTTCATCAATATGCTCAAGAACTCGAATGTATCGTCGAACAGTTAAAGGAAGAATTACAACAACAAGATGCATCCATACAATCACTGAAAGATTCGTTTCAAGAAATTGAACTTGAAAATTCTACTCTCAAAGAAAATTTTGAGAATCAAGTGGAAGAAATAACGCAACATTATGAATTAGAATTGAAAGAGTTTGAATTAAATGCTTCTTTAGAGAAGAGACAATTGCAAGATCAATATTTTGAAAATTCATTGTCACTTAAAAGTTTTATTGGTCAACAAGAGGTTGAAATTGCAACATTGAGAAAAGAAGTTTCTCTTCGAACGAGAGAAAACAACTCTCTGTCACAACATTGCAAGGCCATTGAAATGAGAATGCAAACACAAATCATGCAATTGGAAACAGAATTGTTGGAACTAGAAAAAAAGAATGAAACCATACAACAAGAATATGACCAAGAATTGGACACAATCAAACAATCCATTCAAAGCAGTTATTCCAATCAAATAGAGGAACTACAGAATGAAGATTCACAAAAGGATTCAAAAATCGATCAATTAGAACTCGAAATTCAACAATTAAGGGAATTCGAGAAAGAACTTCAACAGGACAAGAAACATTTCACACAAGAATTGAATCTCATGAAACAATTATATGAAGATCAGATGAGAGAATTAGAATTTTACAAAAGAGCTCAATTAAGTCAATTCATTCACCAGAGAGCTGACCCTCAGAAGAATGATGAAGTGGAGCAGAATGGAGAACATGTTGGATGCATCTCCATCACTTCTTACACTCCCTCGCATTCGTTCTGTCACTTATCATCCACCAGAACACCTAGAAAAAGTCCTAATTCAACACCAAACCATTCACCATCTAATCGCAACACCAAACTCAAATTTCTCGCTCCCTCAAGAAATGGAATATTCATGTAATAATTGCCATGTTTTAAAAAGAATGCCAAACAGTTAATGACAACAAATATGAATACCCATCATGAGTATATATCCTATTTCCATGCTTCAACATCTAACTCAATATAAACATTTAACATTTTCAGCTCAATGAAATGAACTCACAAAACAAATACCAATGCACAAGAAACGACAAGAACAATGAACTTGAGAACAAATTTTCCAAAAAAAAATGCAAAAGAAACCATCGAACGATCATCAAGAGAATGTCATTGAGGATGAGAATGACACTTCGGAAAGTACCAAATGGGACACAATTTCCATTCCGATCACATCTTCAAGTGTTCAAAATTTTCAGCAACACCAAATATACAATCCATTTCAACGATTATTAGAAAATGAAGATATTCTCATCACAGTGATTGAATTTTTAGATCGATTTTTTGTATTATGGAATATTTCCTTGTGTTCGAAATATTTCCATCGACTCACTCATAAACCTTATGCCTATACGAGATTGTATTGGAATTTTTCACAATCACATTTACAACGTTTGGATTTAATGTCGAAATATTATTCGCAGTTGAAATATTTAGAAATTGAAGATTCGATTCATTTGAAGGAAAAGATCATCTCGGAATTGGAGGTGAAAAAGTTTAGAGATTTTCTAAAAGATCATTCGAGTACGATACAACATGTCGATATAGTTTTTCATAGAAATCAAGAATTGCTGTTTCATGAAATTGTGAAAGAATGTTCGGAATGGTTGAAATCTCTTTCGTTGAAGATTTCATTGTGGCCAGATTTTGCATGCAAAGCTTGTCAATCATTGAATCAGTTTTCACAGTTAGAAAAGTTGAAACTCAAGATTGGAAATAGTATTGATCCTGAACTGGTGTTGACAAGTTGCCGATCTTTGTTTGAAAAAGGAAAGTTGAGTCTCTTTCACTCAACAACTGTATTGAGATCGAAATCTCATGTTTTGCAATTCATTGATTACCTTAAATTGTCTCAAAAAACGATCAAAGATGTTGAGTTTTCAATGAATGCTCTCGAAAATGAGGAATTCAATGAAGTGATACCAAAACTGAATGTAGAATTATCAAATTGCAGACGAATAACAGTTACACTTCTTGAAGTGCAGGACTTGTCGAATGTCAACCATTTCACAGAAATGTCGTCCACTTGTTCGGAATTTAACATGAACTTGATTGGTGTCCAATGCCAATCTGCTATACGAATTAATCTCGAGAATGTGAAAATATTTAATGTAGAATCTGCTAAATATGAACCCAAAACAAATACTTTTCCTCCATCCATGACACATTTGACTTTTCAATTGAAATCTCTTGATACATTACCTAAAATGGACATTGAGTTTTTCCAAGTTTTTAAATTATTGAGAACATGCACGTTTCATCACGTGGAAATACCATCTCTTGAGAATGAAACTATCCATGTTTTACCTCTGCTTGAAAAATTACAATGCCACAATTGCAGAATTCAAAATATTCACTCTCTATTGAAATTTCCAAATTTGACAATTCTCGAATCTAATTCGTGCTTCTTTCCAGAAACACCATACTTTTACACTCCTAAAGAAGAACATTTCTTAAAATTGAAAGAACTCACCATTACGAATATGAAATCAGGAAAATTGAATTTACAAATTCTGAAAAACATGCAATTAGAACAACTCAATCTTTCACAAGCCCTTCTTGATTCCAACTTTCGTGACCATTTGCATTTCATTGAAAATATGCCCTCTCTCACCTATTTGAATCTCTCAAACGAGAACCAAGTTTTATCTGAAATTTTAAAACACATGAATTTTGAACGTCTCACCAACTTGAATTATCTCATCATGAAATATCATAGGACTTCACATAGGAGAGATTTATCATTTAAACTAAATTCAAGTATTTATCACCTCATTCACCACACGAGCATGATCTTTCCAATAATTAGTTCAGAAACTTTCATTAATATTGAACCTGATAAGTATCACCATGGCGGAGAAATGATCGACATTCCCATACTCACCAAAGAAAAAGCTTTGCAAATTGTAACCAAATTTATTCCTCGTTCCTATCAAGAACAAGAAGGTGAAATTCTCACAGTCTTGTATTGTAGAGAATATCATTACATTACTTTTAGCTTGCAAGGGAAATTTGGATATGTATTGGTCAAGAATGAACCCTCTAGGAATTATCCAATCATGAAGGGTCAACTCACGAAAGAGAATGTGGAACAGAGATATCTACTCGAGTACATGTTTCGAATTCCCTCTTCTGTGGAGAAATACAAAATGAAATGTGACATTATTTGAGAGAAGAGAGAATTTTCAGCAGTGTGTACATACATTTTCTGTGTCCTTCTCCTTTTTAAATGATTGATCGAGTTCACAATTCCATCAACAACGCTAACTATAGAAAATGTACTTGGAACAATTTTTGTAAACTCGATCAATAATTTTACAAAAAAAATGTCCAAAGTAAATTCAGAAGGAACAACGGATCATCGTTATTCATGGCTCAATTTCTTACCTTTTACGCGTCTACCTGGATCCGTTCTCTCAGAGAATAAACAAATATTTGAGGAAAAGAGTTATTATGTTCATCATCAACAGATTGATCTCTCGGAATGTATCAAAACGATGCAACAAGGAACTCTGCTGTTTGGACATGATGATGAAGAGAAGGCTCATGAGGAATTACGGAACTATTTTGAAAAACAAGAGGAGAAGCAGAATGAAGTATCCAATCGTTCCGGGGTTAAGGTTTTAGATGCTGATTGTTTGCAAGTTGCGTTAGAGTTGGAAGAGAAAACACATCGGAAACCATTGGTATTGAATTTAGGTAATTATGATGATATTCTTGGAATGAGTGATTGATTTGAGATTTTTAAATTTATGGTTTTGATGAACATGATGATGAATGGCTGCTTTCAATTTTGAAAATTGGGTTTTGAAAATTTTGCATGATCGATCAAAAAAGCAAATAGACATTGCGAACATGTGTGTGGAAAGTATTGGCATCCATATTTGGGTAGTCAAGGTAAGCCATTCTCTATACTGCAGGAATTAGCGTAAATGCTAAACATAATAATTTTGAAAATTGAAACATGAAGAGGAATTTATTGAAAGAAAAAGTGCAGTGTATAGATACAGTTTAGATCCGCAACATAATGAAAATTTAAAACAACAACTTGTTTCCAGAGTGAGCGATCCTAACAATATCACACATCACATCCCAAGATTTGGAGCCATTGTGTCATCAGGAGTGCCGATCATTAGAAAATTCGAAGAGACGAACGACTATGCTTTGACTGAAAATGTTAAAACGATTGACGTGGTGGCATGCGGTGCTGTAGATTTAAGACGCAAATGGTTTCGCGAAACTGATGTTCTGGATTATTTTGATTCGTCCAACAACTTTAATGAAGAAAAGTTCATCAAAGATACCAAGTTGAAAATTAGAATTGTGCTTTTGGCTGCTTTGAAAACAGGCCATACTGATCTGGTTCTGGGGGCATTGGGATGTGGAGCATTTCTAAAGTAAGTATTTGGTATGCACATTCATGTTTGATTGGTAACAGTTTGCAATTTGTTGTGTGACTCTTTTTTAGTGACCCTGTAATTGTGTCCAAGTGTTTCCATGAAGTGTTGAAAGAACCTCACTTTCACAACAAGTTTGAGAATATTTACTTTGCAATTTTAGGAAAGAAGAACTCGTCAATTTTCCAAAAAGAACTTGACGATTTGATTAATTGAGATTTTCAGTGGAGGATCAGTCAAACATAATGCAATTACGAGCCTACTGTCAACTCAATTGCGTGGTTCAGCAGATTTCGATTCTTCTTCAGATTTCTTTGGAATTTGCACGCCTCCACCTGTATACATTCCAACCACGTTAGCAACATTGTTATCATTATTGGTTTCACTACGATATTGCAATTGACATTCATCTTCAGGCAAGAATTTCACAATAAATTCGCCAATGGAAGATGGAACAATATGGGCTGTTTGTGATGTTGGATTTTTCTTAATGTCACTGCCAGTGCCGCTTGGACTGCTGCCTCGTATCATACTGGATGCCCATGAGCTCAATAATCCGCCACTATTAGAATTGGTGTTGGAGGCATTAATGTTGTTGCTGACATTATTTGTGTTCATCATTAAAGTATTGTCATCAAAAAGTCCCTTCTTCACCTTAAATGTCATTTGGACATCCTTAATATTCTCAATATGATTTTGCAAAGAAGCTTGAATATGACTTGTCAAATAAGAGGTCATACAGTGAATTCTCTCAGTAGATTGGGAGGCCAGCCAAATTCTAATCAATGCATAGGTTAATGGATTATACTTTTGTCCGATTTCTGATTCTTTCTTTGCCAAGAACACATGATTCACGACACAGTTTCCGCTTCCAGAAGTATAGAATGGAGCAAATCCAACAGTTGTAACATTTCCAGATGTATTAGTTGATCCTGATAAATTACTTCCAACGATATTCACTTCCTTACTTCTCAACTCTCCAGGGAATGCTTCAACGACATATTTTTGAACCATCTTGTTAAAATCATCCATTGTGTCACATTCCTTGAAATTGTGAACTACGACAAATGTAATCTTTCTTGGTTTACCAGTGGTTGGATTAATCCCATGATCTCTTCTGTACAATAATTCATACAATAATTGGTACTCTTCCCATGACATTTCATTCACAACAAATAAAATAAAGTGTGACATGTTTAACAAGAGTTCTTGAATCACATCTTCCATCATTTTCTTCTCTCTCACTGTCCTTTCAATGGCTTCATTCCATTGATGTTGAAATTCTGTTCTGTGTCTACCCATCGATGATGTGCAAACTGTTGCTGTTGATGAATAGTGAGTGACTGTTGTTGCATCATGGAGCTCATATTAATTGCAGGAACAGCAGTTGAGGTAGACAATGGACGTGATAATGATGAAGACGACATATTCTTGACCACCAATGGAATCATGTTGCTATTATTACTCATTGTGAAATTCATTTGAGAATTATTGGCAGGAATTTGAAATTGTTCTTGAGAAGCTTGTGGATTATTAGTAGTGATCACACTCGTCGTCACAACAATATCTTCCTGAGGTAGCATATTGTCTTTTTGAATTTCTTTCAATTGTCTCTTAATTTCTGAAATACGTATTGGACTTCTCAATCCCATCGTATCGACCAACAACCAATCTCTTCCTTGATTATTTCTTGGAACTTTGAAACACAATGGAGGAGTACTTTGTGTCAATCCCACACGTAAATCACTTCCGCTTAATTCATTTAACACATGAGTTTTTCCACAATTTTTGAAACCCAACACACTCACCACACAACTTGGTTGTTGAGTAAATTTGTGTTCAATTTCTGCAAAATAATTAATATAGTGATGATGGTTTCGTTTTTTGGAGAATTTTCTTTGATTCGATGACAAGGATTCAGAAGCAAATGGATCTTCAATGCTGTCACGAGGTGTTAAATCGCCAGCAGAAGAGGTGTTGTCATTCGAATGATCTGTAGAAGTGTTATTGGTGCTGGGTAGTCCACCAAAGGCAGAGCTAGGACTTGGTGGTCTTGAAGGTGCATTCAAAATTTGAGTTGGAAGAACTGAATCATTTCAGAGGATTTTAAATTTTTTGAAATTTCAATCATTAATTGAGAGTTTGTACACAATGAATAAATGAAACTTGAACTAATTGTAACACTTATACACAAACTTACCTCCAGGGACAATGGCTTGAGTATTAATAAACGATTGTGGTGTTGTGGTGGCATTGACATTTGACACTCCTTGAGCGGATGATGGTTGTGCATTTATCATGTGTGAATGAATACTTTGCATTAATTTTTGATTTTCCTCTTCATGTGCCATTGCAACCGCTTCACTCATCGATTGTTTAATTCGATCCAAAATTCGATATTCCAATTCTTTCGATAATTTAATGGACCATCCTTTTTGTGTTAAATGTTGTGGAGAAATTTCATCCATGTCAACAATTAAATCATAATCTTCATGACCATCATCGATTTGATAATTGAATCCTCCATATTCGGAATAAGAATTATATTCATCTCCAGAGAGAGAGGAACGTGTGGAGAGACTTTGAGAAGAAGCAATGACTCCAGAGGAATTAATTTTAGAAAGGTCCGTTGGAGTGGGATGTTTTACGGAAAGAGAGAAAGAGGTATTGTTGGTGTTGGAAGGAATGTTGCCCATTCGTTTTGTGTGTGATTCGTTCGTTGAAAATTATTTTTTAAACATGACATTTGACGTTTACCTTGCTGAGACAAAAGGAAACTCAAGGTCTCAAATTCGATGAATAGACATTCTTCTAGTGGTATTCTTCTTTCATTGGCACTTGAATCCAATGGAAAATGTAAACGCTGGTCTGCATTGACCATCTTCAAGAATTTTACAATTTCTGAAAGATGCATTTCCAAATGTAGAATTCACAAAATCATTCATCAAAATCCAAATGTACAAGAAAGAGAACTCACGAACTGTTCAAGAAGAAAAAAATTCTTGTCA